ATATGGCATTCTCTACCAGCTGACCATTGGGTAAAAACAGAAAGCATATGAAGGGCAGATATGATGAAAAATATGTGACATAATTATAGCAACATACTAAAATATTTAATACATAATACATAAGAAATACACACATATAATACATAAATATTAGTCTTAATATATATGGATATACTAATTTTATATTGTTATCACAGCACTTTTTATATATTAATTCGATAATATTGAAATCTAGCTGTATCCCATGGATTTATCCATGTAACTAACATATAATGTACCCTATGTACTAAATTAAGATATAACCTACCTGTGTAACAAATTTTACTCAAATCCGGTTAGTAGTTTTTGCGTAAAAGAGTAACAAACATCTATGCACTTTTTCAGGCAGTAACTGAAAATGAGTGTTTTTAGAACTCCCTGAGATATTGCCTTTTTGCATCACTGTCGTATACATATTATATTTTTACACATTATGTTATATATATAACATAATGAAACACGAATGGGATAGAGGTAGCCAAGCAAACGACTTTTGTACGAAGTCTCCCTCTGGTATATATAATTATATATATATATATATATATATATATATATATATATATATATATATATATATATATATATATATATATATATATATATATATATATATAAATGGTGTATGTTTAACACTTTATCTTTTCTGTTACTCTCGTACCAAGTCTTGTATTGTCTTATTTGTCTATTTATTACCAGAGGGAGGCTTTGTACAAAAGTCGATTGCTTGGCTACCTCTATCCCATTCGTGTTTCAACCGTGAAGCAGTTGTGTTTGCATGGCTGTGTTTCGGTTGGAAGGATGGGATATGGCGTGAATTTACAGGGTACAGAGGAATAACATCTGAGCCCTCAGGAATGGCAACGCGTGTGGGGTATCATGGGCGAAACAGTATACTCTGTTACGTCCACGGTACTGCTCATGTCTATAGGCGACTGTTACCACTTTCCATCAGGTGGGCCGTCAGCTTATTTGTCATTCTAATTTGTATAAAAAAAAATCTCTCGGTGCAAAAAAAAAAAGTTTATCTATCTATCTATCACCCATCCATCCACTGTTACTTTCAACTTTTGCATTTATAATATTAATTTTTAATTATAATACAATTTTTTGAAAATTGACATAGGAATACAGTTTACCATGTTGTTACACTACAGCAGCCTTTCCCAAAGTGGGCGATGACGCCCCCTTGTGGGCGCTGCAGGCCTAAAGGGCGGTAGGAGAAACAGAAAAAAAATGAGGGCGTTGTGTAGAGGCTTGGGGGGTGATTTGTTGATCTTGAAGTAATAGTGGTTTTTAAGTAGGTGAAAAAATGGGGGCGCTAAAAATAATTTATTCTCAAAGTGGGCAGTAGACAAAATAAGTTTGGGAACCCCTGCACTACAGTATGCTTCAGATTAAATACTCTTCCTAGATACACTCAGTTGCTAAGATTGCAACAGTCTACTGACGTCTCAAACTATCTGCATGAATAATGCACCTCTGTTTTTCCAATAAACAGTTTTCAATGTGTTTTTTACAATTCACCATTGTTAACCATAGTACACAAAACTATGACATTACAGAGTATACTGTTTCACCCATGATACCCCCATGCGTTGTTATTCCTGAGGACTCGGGTGTTATTCTTCTGTACCCAGTAAATTCACTGCCATATTCTTCAAGAGCTCCACATATATATATATATATATATATATATATATATATATATATATATATATATATATAACGAAACATACTATATAATTACATCAGGCAGATCAAGGAAGGTGTTGGTGTCGTGTCGTATCAAGAGGTGAAGGGACTAGGTGAAAATCGTAGTGAGTGGCAAGAGCTCCACATATATATATATATATATATATATTAGTATGTTATTATTATTAGCAATGGGATAGTTAGATCCCATTATTAACAATCCCTTTCTCTTTATATGCTTAGTAATTTCGGATAGAGGTTTTAGACTTGTTTGGTTAACTAATATATCTAGTATAAATAATATATATAGTAACGATTAGCATAGCTTTTTATGGACTAAAATTAAATATTTCATTACTGTGACTAAGAAAAAAAAAATTATATAGTACATACAGTTTCTAATTTCACATGATTTCTAACTGATGGAGTTTTGAGGTAACAAACATTAATAAGTGTCAAATTACTCAGTTGGCTATGGAGAGGGCTATGCTTGGAGTCTCTTTACGTGATAGAATCCGAAACGAAGATATCCGCAAAAGAACCCAAGTAATCGCCATAGCCCGAAGGTTAAGCAAGCTGAAGTGGCAACGGGCTGGTCACATAGCTCGAAGAAGCGACAACCGATGGGGAAGAAAGGTTCTTGAGTGGCGATCACGTACGGGAAAACGCAGTGTAGAACGACCCCCCAATTAAATGGAGTGACGACCTGAAATGCATTGCAGGGTGTCAGTGGATGCAGGTGGCTCAGGACCGTTCTTTATGCCAGTCTGCGGGGGAGGCTTATGTCCAGCAGTGGACGGATAATGGCTGAAATGATGATGATGATGATGATATAAAAATTTTAAAAAATCAGACAAATTAAGAACTTTTTTTAAATAGTCTAAAATCTAAATGCCTCTTTGTGCACTCGGCTTAATCTTGCGTCGCTGTGAAAAACATCTTAGAAGCGGAGTGGTTCATTATTCATGTAAACTATCCGAGACAGGGGCGCAGTACATCCATTCTTATGCGATTTTACAATAACTCCTGCTAACTATAAGAAGGGGTTGAGAATAAATTAATTGGCGGAATTTGGAGCTATAATATAGGTATGTAGATAAGAAACGTATACTCGGACTTTGCTATAAAATGTTGTATGTAGTTATATAATAACAATTAAGGTCACTGTTTATATTCTTGTTAAAAGAGATTATTCCTGTATAAAGAGATTTTACGTTGACACGTTATTTTTTCATCGACTTCAAAAATAGGAAAGTTTTCGATTCGTTTGTATTTATTTTATGTTTATTACTCAATAATTCTGTTAGTTATAAACATATAATAGTTACAGATTTTTTTTAATGCATGATAATGGAATGGTAACTCCGCCTACGCTAATGGTACACGCTGGCAGGGCACCAATGAGGGGTGATAGATCGAATGAAAAAAAATTAAGAAGAAAATGCAGGTCTGTTGACCCATCGTGATGAATACACTTGGAATCCAACATGATGGTTGGATTCCAAGTCCTCCTTGTTAAGGTTATTAAGTATATTAAAAATGCTAGTTGTAATTCGCGTCTTTGCCTGTGTAAATTAGAATAAAAGAATTGTGTGTTCATCTAGGACATAGTATAAAAAACGTGTAAAAAACTTCATTAAGATCAGTCCAGTTGTTTAAGTGTACTCGAGTAACAGGTATGAAAATATTTTTGCCTGCAATTTCCCTGGTATTGTAGGCGTTCATAGGCTTTACGATCAGGTGGGCCGTATGCTTTTTTGGCGCCTCAGAGGTAGAAAATAAATTAAAAAAAGAACAAAAACTGTAAAATAATAATTATAAATTACTAATTACACACTCGCTGTAAAACAGCCAAAATACGTAAAGTTAATAACTTAACAAGCAAGTTATCCAGTAACTTAGCCGTCAACTTGTATAGAGCTTAACAAATGTGCTAACTTGTGAAAAACGTGTTCAAAGTAACGCAATTCATTAGTCATGCAAATTGTGTTCGACGCAATCCGCCGTGCCGCGTTCTGATTACCAGAATTGCTTTTGTTAACTACAGTAGGTGCCTATAATGTCTTATAGAGGCGTGAATATACGAGGTCTGTCCGGAAAGTTCGTATAAAAGTGTTCTGGAATGCGAGAAAGAGGAGTGGGGAGGCCAGGTAAGCGCAGGACCCCTTCCTTATGTCCCTAACAATGCTTCAGTTCTGGTCTGACCGCCGTGCGGTGCGAACTGGCTTGTCACGCCATCTGTGAAGTTACCTCTTAACGAAACCCCGTCGGCATGGAGCCCGCTTCCGTTGAAGAGCAGCGCGTCGTAATCAAGTTTCTCTCGAAACTCGGCAAGAATGGCCGTGAAATTTTTGCCGATCTCAGAACAGTTTATGGGGATGATGCTGTGAAGGAACCAACCGTCCACAAGTGGCTAAAAAGATTCAGAGAGGGCCGAGAAAGCGTTCAAGATGACCCACGTTCAGGACGTCCTTCCACTTCACATTCCGACGAAAACGTGGAAAGAATTCGAACTTGTGTTAATGGGGACCGTCGTTTAACGGTCAGACAGGTGGCTGAAGAGCTTAATTTGGGCAAAACCGTGGTCCACGAAATTCTAAGAAACGAACTTCAAATGAAAAAAATTTGCGCCAAGATCGTTCCCAAGCTTTTGTCCCCGGATCAAAAATCACGAAGAGTTGCTTGCTGTGAGGACTGGTTGGAAGCCGAAGAGAATGGTGACTTTTTGAACCGAGTCATCACTGGAGATGAGTCTTGGTTCTACGAATTTGATGTCGAATTAAAATCCCAAAGCAAATAGTGGAAGACATCCGGGGAACCACGAACAAAAAAATCAAGAAAATCCCGCTCAAATGTCAAGACAATGTTGATTGTTTTTTTCGATGTTCGGGGGATTGTCCATCAAGAATTCGTCCCTCCAGGCCAGACAGTTGATGGAAAATTCTACGTCGATGTGCTCAGACGCCTCAAAGCTCGTGTGGCACGAGTTCGTCCAGAATTGGCGCGAGAGGGGCGTTGGATTCTTCACCACGACAATGCCCCTGCCCACACCTCTCTTGTTGTCCGTGAGTTTTTGAGTAAAAATTCCATTACGGTGACCGAACACCCCCCTATTCGCCGGATTTGGCCCCGTGTGACTTCTTCTTGTTCCCAAAAACCAAATTGGTACTTCGGGGGCGGCATTTGGGGGACATAAATGAGATAAAAAAAGCTACGACGGGGCAGCTGAGAAACCTACAACCAGAGGACTTTCAAGGAGCCTTCTCACAGTGGAAACGGCGTTGGCACAAGTGCATTATGTCACAGGGGGAGTACTTTGAAGGGGATAAAATTGATTTACCTGAATAATTGTAAAATAAAATTTTTAAAAAACTTTTATACGTACTTTCCGGACAAACCTCGTATGTCAAATTGGCTTATAAGTTTACATAATAATAATAATATGTCCCATTCGTGTTTCAACCGTAAAGCAGTTGTGTTTGCATGGCTGTGTTTCGGTTTGAAGGGTGGGATATGGCAGTGAATTTACAGGGTACAAAGGAATAATATCTGAGTCTTCAGGTATGGCAACGCATGGGGGGTATCATGGGCGAAACAGTATACTGTTATGGCCATGGTATTGCTCATGTCTATAGGCGACGGTTACCACTTTCCATCAGGTGGACCGTCAGCTTGTTTGCCATTCTAAGTTGCATACAAAAAAATCATCATCGTCATTTCAGCCATTAACCGTCCACTGCTGGACATAAGCCTCCCTCATAGACTGCCATAAAGAACGGTCCTGAGCCACCTGCATCCACTGACTCCCTGCAATGCATTTCAGGTCGTCACTCCATCTAGTGGGGTGATCGTTCTACACATTGTTTACCCGAATTTTTTTTATACAACTTAGAATGGCAAACAAGCTGACGGCCCACCTGATGGAAAGTGGCAACCGTCGCCTATAGACATGAGCAGTACTATGGACATAACAGAGTATACTGTTTCACAACTTCTTCACGGTTGAAACACGAATGGGACAAAGGTACCCAAGCAATCAACTTTTGTACAAAGTCTCCCGTATGCGGTCGCCACTCAAGAACCTATCTTCCCCATCGGTTGTCGGTTCTTCGAGCTATGTGACCACCCTATTGGCACATCAGCTTGCATATCCTTTGGTATATTTTGGTTGTTTTGTTTTTTTTTTTGCGGTTATCCCCGTTTTAGATTCACCATCACATAAAGTGATAATAAATAATAATAATAATAAAGAGTTTTTATTCAAATAAACTGAATAAGCATTTTTTAGTAGTATTTTTTGTTGTCAATCTATCGCCCAGTTCGGAATGCAATTTCAGCTGACAAGAACGGATAAGTAACAAGGCTGTTTTGCTTTTTTTCAAATAAAAGTTTGCAACAATTAAAATATGAATGGATAATTTGACTATTGCATTTGATAAACTTTGTATTGATAAAAAGATAGAATTTAAAAAATCTAAAAGGTTTGTACTTTAATAATTAGCATCGTTTTAAGACAATATAAAATCAAAGCTAGCGTTTCTCGGTTTTTGACGATGCCACCAGACGACTGTAAAGCAACAAATGTTGTGTTCAAAATTTCTATGAGGCTACTTTGTAAGTGTATCCTTTTAGACAAAAAAATATTAATTTTTCACTTTAATTTACATTTGACCAAATAATGAGGTAACAAATATCAAATAAATACAACCTTCTATATTATGAAATCGCTTGAAGAAACTAACTTAATTGAAAATTTCTTTTCGTAAATCGTTTTTAAATATTGATCGGATGGTGTCATCGATGATTATTTACCATGGTACCTAATCGTCAGTTAATTAACTGACTGTTGTAGTTTAATCATCTGTTAACAAACTGACAGGGCTTAATCATTACAAGGTGTACAATGTACATGTAAGTGCTGGTTATGAAAACAAAACGTCATCCTAACTCCGCTCACAATTAGAGCTCACGCCCGAACAATCTTCGCAATCAGAGTGATGACGTTTATTGAAATTCTTCCAAAGAGCCCGACATCAACTTCATAAAGTTTTGAATATCATGAATGAAATTTAGCAATCGAGTAAGTTAATCGATTAAATTAAATTCCCAATGCTTAATCAATCAAACGGGCAATCTTCTGATTATTCATATTATAATACATTTTGAACGTTTTATTGGATTATGCAAACGTTCAGGGACGCAATTGTAATCACGCAATTTTGTTAGTGATTTATAATTGTTACGTTCAATACAAAAACGCCTTTAGCTGCCCACTGCTGAATGCAAGACTCCCTCTTGGGGGGTTTTGACAGGAATAGTCACGCTTGGCAAGCGGATTGGCAACGGTAATTAGACTTTAGAGAGGTTTTAAGAGTGACGCTGTTGCCTATCCCTCCCGTTCTATTAGTAGCTTACGACGTTCATGGGAAAGGAAGTGGTGGCATATTCTATGCCGGGACCACACGCAGTTTTAATCTAGATATGCCTGAAACTATTTTTTAACACAGATTTGTTAGATCTGCAAAGAGAATATCTGGCAGTTTTTTATACACATATAATATATTACAAAATAGTGGGGATTTCTTATTTTTCTAAAACTATTTCTACTTCTAAGTTTGTAAAATTTATTTATTTTATTCTTTATTGCACAATAAAACTTTGTACAAATGGCGAGCTTAATGCCATATGGCATTTTCTACCAGCTAACCATTGGGTAAAAACAGAAAGCGTATGAAGGGCAGATGTGGTGAAAAATATGTGACAATTATAGTAGCACATACAAAGCAATACACAATATAAATATAATGTACACATAAGAAATGCACATATAATACATAAAAATGACTTTTAATATATATGGATAAACTAATACATATGAAATATGTACATACATACATACACATATACATACACATACATATATACATACATACATATACACAAATATACATATACTTACATATACATGCATAAAAATAACGATAAGCATTATGAGATATAATAACTATAGAGTAACCTGTAACTAGAGCTGGTTTTGTTGACTCAACAAATAATTAAAAAGTCTTCTTTTAAAAATATCCTTACTTGATGCTCTGCGTAGATATATATTTTATAAATATTCAATAAAATTGTACATTCCACATAATTTTTTATATGTAAAAGGGAAAATACATAATGCGGCTTTCCGGTGAAAATGTTTAGAATTTTCCTACCGTGGTCATACCAGTAGAAATATTTTTAGACAAATATAAATTCCCCACTATTTTTTAACTATCGGTTTAATTAATTTTTATTTATTCTTTCGATAAGGCGTGACCCCCTCTCCCTTCCCATTTCCTATTGCTAGAATCCGTTTGATCCATGACTTACGGGGCTCTCTGTTATGATAAAGAAAGGCGAACTGAATGCTCAGTGTTCTTTGGAATCCTTTATTTATTTATTAATATAGTTGCATTGCATATTATGATAAAATATTTTACAAACATTACAAAAATACGACACAACATGTAGCTCGTTAGGTAAAGCAACCTGCGGAGAGAGGCAGACATTTTATTAATATATCCTTTAGATATTAGTCAATGGAATAATAGGTTTTATTAATTAGAAGCTGTTTCAACATCCTGATTTTGTTATACTTTTTATTTTCTGTTTTTGTATTATTTGGCAATTTATTATAATTTTTATTGACATGGGATAGGATCCAGAGCTAAGATTCCGAAATCTTAATTATGAAATTCGAAGTGAATTTACAGGGTACAGAGGAATAACACCCGAGTCCTCAGGAATGGCAACGCATGGGGGGTATCATGGGCGAAACAGTATACGTTATATAGCAGCCTATAGATATGATAGCAGCATGGACATAACAGAATGTACCATGTGAAAAATTTAACAATTATTTTAATGAATAAACAAATAAATGTCCATGGTACTGTTCATGTCTATAGGCGACGGTTACCACTTTCCATCAGGTGGGCCGTCAGCTTGTTTGCCATTCTAAGTTGTATAAAAAAAAGCAAATAAATAAATATAGTTTATAATCCATAATCCTATCTTACTGATTTATATCAGTTTGCGCAGTATTTTTTTTTGTGTCGGTCCCGGCATAGAATAGGCCACCCCTTCCTTTCCCGTGTGTGTCGTAAAAGGCGACTAAGGAGAGCGAAGGATGGGCAGTAGCGTTTCTCTTAAAACAACTCCAAAGTCTTAACTGCAGTTGCCAATCCGCCTGCCAAGCATGGCAACTACTGGAAAAAACCCTTTTATGTTCAGCAGTGGACAGTTAAAGGTTGATATGATGATGATGATGATGAAGTAGCGGGCAAACTAGGCTATCGAAAATAAAATAAGAACAAAGACAACAAAACCCGTCCAGCCATTCGAATGGCGGAACCCTAAAAACGTGGTGAAATCCACACTAAGCGACAAAATTCATTTCCTCCATTTCCTCAACCATGAGAACTGGTAATGGACTTTGCAACTTTATTTGGTTTTGTATTGTAACATACTTAAACGTTTTGAACTCAAAACTAAAATAACATTAAGTAAGTAAATTTATAATAGCAAATGGAAAATTCGTACGATGGATAATCGAGTTATACTTTATATATATATATATATATATATATATATATATATATATATATATATATATATATATATATATATATATATATATATATATAATTATTATATATACCAGAGGGAGACTTCGTACAAAAGTCGTTTGCTTGGCTACTTCTGTCAGATTTGTGTTTCTACCGTGAAGCAGTTGTGTTTGAATTTACAGGGTACAGAGGAATAACACCTGAGGCATGGGGGGTATCATTGGCGAAAACAGTATACTCTGTTATGTCCATGGTACTATTTATGTTTATAGGCAACTGTTACCACTTTCCGTCAGGTGGACCGTTAGCTTGTTTGCCATTCTAAATTGCAAAAAAAATGTATAATGGGAATTTTATAAGCTAAAGATTGTTTGAAATATAGAATAAGTGTAATCAAATTAGATGAGTATCGTCCTATATATTATTCCATACTCGTATATCATTTTTATATTTTTAAATAACTATGCGCAAAGTAAATAAATAATATATGGGACGCTGGACGCGGCTCGGCTATAAATGTCGTCGATCGTGGTGAACGGCGCCTCCGGGAGTCTCGTGTCAGCTGTCGCATAGCCGGTGGTCTGCACCACGAGTGGACTGAGTTTTTGTATTAAATATTACTTATTACACTGAGTTTCCATGTTAATATTACTAATTTCATTGTAATTTCGTTCAGTTTTTACAAAAGTATTACAATTTTTTTTTATACAATTTAGAATGGCAAACAAGCTGAGGGCCCACCTGATGAAAAGTGGTAACCGTCGCCTATAGACATGAGCAGTACCATGGACATAA